CTTAAACCTCCTGAGAAAACCACAGTAAGACACTATTTCTTCCTAAATGTTTTCACAGCTCAAGGGGTTGTCAACTTATTTAACCCTAGTTAAAGCTAGGACAGGCCTAACAGTCATACTAAGCTCCCTGCTTAGTCAAACAGGAGAGAGCGAGCAACATTCCCAAACATGATTCTTTCTGAACAGGTACATAGATAGAAGGTACCTGTCTCCACGGAGTAAGCAGGACCCTGGAACTTTTAGAGGCAAAATTAATTCAAACAAAATTAAACTTAAACCAAAATTACTTATTGCTTAACCTAGTCCATCATTCAAATCATTTAAGTGCTCCTTCTACGGTTCATGAAGACGGTGCAGATCAAGAAAAAAATATCTGGCATGGCCACATCTTGTGTCTAACTGAATATTTATTACACCACTGAAAGCATAACATTTTGTTGTGTGAGCCTGCCAGGTACTTAATCTGAAACACTGAGAAAGACAAGAGACCAGAAATGCTTTAGGTTCGTCTCTGTTATCTTGGTCCCAAAATAGGGGGGAAAAAAGAGAAAGTGGAGGTTCTACAGTCTTCCACGCAAATTCAGTGAGAGGGAAGTACTTCAGGCTTTGTAAAACCAGATAATTAGGGTACAGTAACTGTGCTCTGTTGACTTCAGTGGGATTTTGGTGATTTATAAAAGCCAAAGATCTACCCTCTGGCCATCTAAAATTGATTTTCTTTGCCTAAAGACACATGCAGGATCAATAAACTCATAACCAAACCTATTATACATATTAATGCAACATTCAATCTCCCACTGAGCTTTTTTCTTCTTTAAAAAAAAAAAAAAACACAAACAACAACAAAAAAAACCCACAACCTCGATTCACTGAAAGAAGTCCTTTGCATTTTTCAACACAATCTTATGGCTACCACCAGATACCTATTTATAAACCTACACTTAAGCAGCTATGTGAGCGTTAGCAGAGTATCTGAAACTACATACAAGATTTTTTTTTAAAGAATAATACTTATACATGCATATATTTTGCATAAATATTATTGTGACTACACATTTACATTTGCAAATTATTTATAAATTATGTTCACAAAGAATATAGCTACAAAAAAAAAGAATAAAAATCTGGCATTTGTAATAAAATAGATCCAAAATGGCTTCAGTAGTTGAGGAAAAAAATACAATAAAACCACCTGCAATATACAAAACCTGTTTCTTGCTTCAAAAACCTCAGAAATTCTACAGTCAGAGTCTACCATTTAAAGCTGACTTTCCAACAAACCTGAAATCCTTTCATATGTTGTACAATAAAAGTGTAAGCCAGTTTTCAACTAACAATAAGATCTACTTAACAAAGATTTCAACAATCAATTATTGCAGAACACGCCAAGATTAAGCAAAATCAGTTCTTTAACACCCAGCTCAAGGAGTAGATGGCCATATCCATGTACCCTTCAAGCTGCCTTTTGATTCTCATAGATAGAATTAAATGTTACCTTGGAGGCCTCGACCGGGTGTAAAGTATTTTGTCTGCTCAAAGGCCCTCATCACAGCTGGTCCTTTCAGAAGATTGACAATTGAATCGACCTGTTGGGATCAAGGTTTTGTGAGAAAGATCTTTTTTACAGCAACAATTAGAAATTCTTTCTTTAAGAAATATGAACTACAGAAAAGCAGCTTTGAATTCTTTCTTACCTAATGGCTGCAGTTAAAGTAACAAGTTGGGGAATGTCAGACTAAACCTAAGGACCTGTTTTGAACTATTTACAGAAAACTGAAGGAGAATGAGTAAATACATACCATCCCAGTAAACAGTGGAAAGCAAAAGTAAAAAGAAAAAGAAGTATTTGCTAAAGAGCAAAGCTCAAACATTAGTATCAATGCCAAGAAAAGTATTCTCATACTTGACCAAAAAGATGCTCCAAACAGCTATGGAGCTTGTCCTGTTTATCATGGGAGATTCGAACACTTAAGGGAAGCTCATCGCCTGAAAAATATTTTAAAATGAAAAATTGTTTAGAATTTTCATCATATTTTCCAAAATCTTTATATCCTAGATAATCTGCTTTGCACACAGACTGATGCTTAGGCTTTCAGGATTATAGTAACCATTCTCCCTACATATTTTGCATTTAGTAGTCACTTAATAATGCAGAAATTGCTCTTAGAGAAAGGACCATATTCAAAGCACAACTGGACACGGTCCTGGATAACCTGCTGTAGATGACCCTGCTAGAGCAGAGGATTGGATTGGATGATCTCAAGGGGTCCCTTCAAATCTCAACCATTCCATGACCAGAACACACGATTCTTCTGCACTGGAGAACATCCTAAACACCAGATTAAATGACTTAGTGTGAACCTAATATAGCAGACCACAAAGTCACTGAAATGCATTCACCATAAAATTTTTACAGGACTCTACAGACAATTCACAGTCTAATGAAATGGTTCTGAGATTTTAGTAATTCAGACAAAACACAGCATCCAAATCCTGTATTTGAAATTAAGCTTTTAGTAGTACATACCACATCATCTCCTGAGAGAGTACAAAGGAGAAGGACTCTCCTAGGTCACTGCCCTCAGCCACTCGCTCTCTCAGGAAACAGGTGATGCAACCTGAACTCTCAAAAGCTGTGAAAAATTGAGCTTAACACTGGTTTTCCTCCTTGCTTTTGCCATGACAGATAAGAAGCAGCCACTTCATAATTTATAATCCAAATTTATTCATGGTCAATCTAGAGTCATTTTTCTTATGTCAGTGAAACACTTAAATAGCACTTTTCTCTCATTTTTTTTTTTTAGCTCCTTTAGATGTCCTTACAGCCAGTAGTTATAACCCTTCACAGGATTTTAACTGCAACAGATGGAGCACAGTGACAAAGAGCCCTGATCTGGAGTTAACCAGGTTAGCTTTGGAACTAGGAGAAAATTAAGTCATCAGGAGAGTGGGAGTTTCACTGAGCCGCAGTATTTATTAACTCGAACAATGTATCTGTGCTTGGCTAGCACAGACTCACTATTTTAGGCACCTCAGTTGTTCTTCAGCTTGATGCTGCACAAGTGTACATCGGTCATTTGTATCTTAAATTAAAGATACAGATCTTGAGTGTCCTCTTTTATTAACAGTTCTTTATGTCCTTCATCCTTTCCTCTGTATCTGCTAAGCTCTGTATGTATCATTTCTGGAAAGGAGCTGCCAAGAATTGCATTATTCACAAGGTATCTCAGATACCTTAGATAATGTCATTAATACTTTCCTGTCCCAACTAAAAATACCTCTCCTGGCACAATCAGCAATAAAACTTGCCTTCTCTATGGCCAAGTCTCACTGGTGGCCCATATTCAACTAATATGCCCAGTTCTTTCTTTTCATAAATTGTTCCCAAATGATAAACTCCTAGCTCAGAGCTAACATTTTTTATTATTAGTCCCTGAGTATATGACCTTGTAGTACATGCAGTTAAACCCATCTCATTCCTGTTAGCAGCTGCATTTATTTAACTTCAATTTGTCATGGCATAAACAAGAATGCGCTTCTATGTGGTCTCACATTCCTTCCTACAAACATACACAGCCATATCCTGCCATCCGGGTGCTGACGCAGGCTGGGAGAGCATTCCACACTCACCTAAAATGCTCCTTACTCTGTGCAACATAACAGACTGTCAAGGTCAAGGCATTAAAGCGGTTAAATGCAGTGACTCTAAGAGCTCTAATTCAGTCTATGCACAGAGATGCTGGAATGTTGGCTTGCTTTCACAGCAGGACTCTTAAGTGCAGCACTAGCTAGGCAAAAGCAAAACAATACACTTCTATTACCAAGGAGGATGCCATTTTTTAAAACAGAAACAACAAAACTGCAGGCAAATGAAAAGCGTAAAACTGAATAAAAGGAACAGATGACAGATTCATAGCTGACTTTTCTAAACATACCTGAATCCATTTCATCACTGTGAAAATAAGAACTGCACTGACTGCTACAAATGCTGGTGAATGAGGCAATGGAGTTCCTATTGCTGTTGCAATCGCTTGGAAAAAAAAAAACAAACACAAAATCAAAAAAGGAAGTTAAGTAATGTCTTTTAACACAGGCTCTGTATCAAAGTTATGGAAATTTTTTCCCTTTTAAATTTAATGATGAGATGGTCTGTACAATTCTTTATCAACAGTAAAGATCCCTATACTTAGGCTATCATTTAATTTGCAGTTCTGATAGGACTCAGAGGACCAGATTCCCAAAATAGATGATTCAATTGTCTCCCTTCACCTTGCATGTGAACAAGCACTTGCAGAATGATAATATACACTTTCAACTCAAAACAACCCACTTTTCTTACACAAGTGACAGTTTTTGAAACTGTGGCCTCAAATGTTTTAGTAACCCCACACTTAAATTCTGTACTCACAGTCCATAGCTAATACAAACGATGAAATACTCTGGTTTATGACTAGCAAACTAGAGTCCATTATGGGTCTAGAAGAGATTTGATCCATCTGAGTAGCACCAAAACCTTAACTACAAGCTATTTTTGCCTAAAAATATAGCCAGCCAAAACATAGTTTATGATCCCATCTCTTCCAGCTGTTTGTTTTGTTAGAGATGTACAGACATTTACATCTGTGACTTCAGTGAAAAGTTCTATGCATACAAAACGTTTCCCACATTGGTCTAGTAAGGCAATTTGGGGATTAAAATGTGTAGGGTTTTTTCTGCTTTCTTCTCTCAAAAAAAATAGCTCTGTACAGAAAATATATGGAGAATATACCTACTTCTGCAGCATAAACAGAGAAAAACATAGCCTTTTGTACTAAAAATCCTATTAAGATAAATTTGAATTTGAAGTCTTCAGAGTTATTTAGTCCCATGAAGATCATTTAGTTTCAACACAGGAAATGCTTAACTAATTATCCAGCAGAAGGAGTCTTAAAAACCCAAGTGAATACAAGATGATGTAGGAGTGTACCTAAAGGATATTTATATATAATGATTTGTTTTGGTTTTATGAATTGGGTGTACCCATTCACCAAGATATACACATCTATATGTCATATATCATGCTGCAGTTACACATGTACCCATGTGCTCCCTACTTGTTTTCTTTTTTTTGTAAATACAGAAGTGATCTTTTACTAGTTTGGGCATATTGATTTGCATTTCTTGGCTAATCTATATGTTTTGGACCTGTAGCCAACCAGGTAAGTGAATGGGGAAAACTTTTAAATGAAGCAATATGATATAGTTACAATCATATCCATTAAGTAGATGAAAAGACATCAGTAACAACATGTTCCTAACAGAGGGTGAAAAGTCCCAAGGAGTATTAAGAATTTCTGGCTGGATATTAAGAAATGCTTTCTAGCTAATTCTAATCACTTATTAAAGTCTCCAAAGGGAAGATGAAGGTTATTTAAAACTAGATTGTGCAAAGCATGAGAAAATAAAACACAGGAAAATGAGAAACAGATTAGATGTATTTGCTATATCATTCTGCATTTTTATTGTGTTCTATTGTAAGGTTTAGAATGAGACCCTAGAGCACAAAATGAGAGCATTCTAACAGCTGAAATTAGCCGACTAGTTCTAATAATAACAACCAAAGTGGCATTATGGGATGTGGAGATTTTCAGTATTGCCTAATGTAATTATTTAAGCAAAGAAACAAAAAATTTCAATCTCACTCCAACAATTGTTCTAAACTCACAGATTTTAAGATTATTCTGCATATGGAGCCCTAGATTTTATCATTCCTAAACAGCCAAAATGAACTACAAATGGCTGGAATCAGAATAAAGAAATATTTTAAATGAAATGACACTCATGTCCTAAGTCACACCTTATTTCTCCACATACAAATCTTGTGCCAAGTGGGGCACTTCCCAACTGGAGCAAGCGCAGGCCACTGAAGCGGCTCCTGCACAGTCAGTTTGACACATCATGGACACGCAGAAACCCCTAAACACACTTCAGCTGGAAGAGCACTTTGCTTGTGTGTCCACAACGGTTAGAACAAGATGGACTTAATCAGTGCAAATTATCTCTACATTTATTTCTGTTCAAATTTATACATACATTCCTGTTTCTACTCTGGCAAAGAGTTCCTATCTACCATGCCGCAGTAATCAAATATTAGCTTATGAAAGAGATCTCGGCAACACAGGGTTCTGTAGAAAAATTATGACCCTACTGAGATTCTACTTTCTGAACATAATAATGAACCATGATAATGAACAAATAATGAACCTTTATTTTACTTGCAGGTAAAAGTTTAATTTAGATTTTATATCATGTAGTCAACCAATTCTCTCTATGCAACAGAAAATTATGAGACCTATGCTTGCTATAATTACTAGTTCCTTTTCAAAATTTTTTGTATTTTCATTCACAGTATATGTGATGCATTTTGAATTCCCTAGATGAGATGATGCTACAATATTTAGAGCGGAAGAAGGTGAGGAATATCTGTTGAGAAACAGATGGGGTTTTTTTTCTTTAAATCAGGAAGGTGGCTCTGGCATCTTGCTTTGCATAGCAGATATTTGAGTTGTTGTTGGGGAATATAACAACAGAAATAATTTCTGGTTTTTATAAGACAGGCAGTCTAAAGTAAAGCTTTACAGCTTTGGCTGTGATATCCAATCAATGTTAGGGATATCAAGATCTACTGTACTCATAGAAGAGTTTATTTTACACAACTTGTAACACATCTTGAGGACAGTTATTCCTGCTAGAAACGTCAGAATCATTATATTCTGATAGTCTTCATAGCCACTTGACAGTTTCCAAACCCACAGGTTTGATTCAGTTGACAAAAATACTATTAGTAAAGTTACCTGTAAGAATCCCTGTTGCTGATGGTATCATGACCAGAATCTTCTTGTTCATCACCTGTCACGCTGAAACAGACTTTCTTCCCATTCCTTTCCCCCTTTTCATTATCACTGTCTGCTGGTATTAAAGGCTCAGGCGTTTTACGTTCCGATTTGGGAGAATATGTTATTGAAGAAAGAAGGCTGTGAGACAAAAAAAAAAAAAAAAAGATAAATTCCTATTATTCAAAACTGAGCAAACAACAGGATAACATTTCTCATCAATGTCCTCCAACTATTATTCTATAATATGTGAAGAGAGTATCTTAATTCAGTCCATATCGATTTGAAACAAGGGAAGAAAGTGACACGTTCTGCTGTTAAAAAGTGTAACGGTGAAACCCATTAAATACTTATCTTGTATGAAAGCAACGATTCCAGCTGGGGAAGAAATAGAGCACATTCTTGAACACTTGAAGAAAAATTTTAAATTAACATAACTATTTTTAAACACAAACCATGTACTTCTCAGCATAAATCAAGAAAACAAAGCGAAGAAACTATATCTCTGTGAAAAGCATATATTTTCTCAAATACTACTGTACCAGACATGCCAGCCCTGCATCACAAGCTACTTTACTAAGGCACTTTAAGAATCTTTACTAACATATCTGTGTATTTCCTGACATTCAAAGTGTCTAAGCCTCTATCACTAGTAAAACTGATGATTAATCTACAAGCTTCTGTGATGAGCACAAAAGTGACATTCAGTCGAGACAGTGCAGACTGCTGCATTTAGAACATGCACAAATATTGGAAGCAAGAGATTCATATTCTTGGGTGATTAACTCATATTGAGATGTTCTAATTTACTTTCAAGATCGGAACAACTATAATGGGCAATCGTCCTTTAATTCCTATTACTCAAACGCTCCTTAGAATGACATTTTCAAACTAATAACTGTTCAACACCATTTCAGTTATAAAATTTTGCATATACACAAATAATTTCCCGACTCTCAGGAACTGACAAGAGTTTTAAGAAAGAAATTAAGAAACTATATACTTTGGAAATGCAATACTGTAGATTACCTCTGTAATGCTGTCTGTTGACTGTATAGCAACATATACAGATCTCAAACAGTGTATCAAGCCTGATCTCATTGAAATCATGACCTTATAGATGTTAAAATAGAGTCTGACATTAACTTTAGGGAAACAAGGATGATAAGTAAAGCTTTTTAGCAAATCCTTTCATCATTTCTGCATAACTTTCTCTGGCTAAGAGCAGTCTTCCAGTACCTGCAGGGGGCCTGCAAGAAAGCTGGAGAGGGACTTTTTACAAGGGTATATGTTGGTAAGACAAGGGGTAATGGATTTGAACTGAAAGAGGGTAAATTTAGGTCAGACATAAGGAACAAATTTTTTACATTGAGGGTGGTGAGGCACTGGAACAGGTTGACCAGAGAAGTTGTGGCTGCCCCATCCCTGGAAGTGTTCAAGGCCAGGTTGGATGAGGCTTTGGGCAACCTGGTGTAGTGGAGGGTGTCCCTGCCCATGGCAGGGGGGTTAGAACTAGATGATCTTTAAGGTCCCTTTCAACCCAAACCATTCTATGATTCTATATACAGGTAGATACTTATCCTACATATAGGAAAAGGTACTGATCTGAACTGTAGCTGAAATATAGAAAAACTATACGAAATGTATAATTTTACTGGACTTTAAACCCACCCATCCACTAGACAGACATCTTTTGGGCTACATGATGCCTTAATACCTCATACCAGTGTGAAATCACAACTCAGTTCTTCTATCACCTAAGTCACTGGTTAGCAGGATTCCATGAGGATGAGAAGAAAGATGGGGCCCATATTTTACAGCAGTGTTCAGTTTCAGCCTATCTGCTAGAGCATACATGTTCTTGAACATGTCCTAAAATAAACGTGTTATGAAAATGTAGACCTTATAAAATCAGTTCTTTGTACTTCTAGAACTTGTTTTCTGAATATGAAAATACAAAAGGGGTTCAAAAAAGGATTAGACAAATTTACGGCAGATCATTCTATCAGTGCTCTTAAAACAAAAGGTCTGTTCCATGAAGACCTTGTAGCACTGCCTGCTGGAAGATGAGATAAGGACAAGTTTGATCTGTACTGTTAGTTTTTCTGGTGTTCCTATTATCATTCACTTTTAGGAAAACAAAAATGGGCTTTGGACAGATCTGTTCTGGTAATTTCTTGTGAATTTTGTTGTTGCAAGAAAATAATCAAGAGTAAGAAACAAGCACAATGAACTGCAATTTCAGCTCCTGAAAATATATTCCCCTGAGTAATTATTTGTCAAGACACAGACAGACTATTATATCCTCTTCTTTCATGTGACTGTTTAGTCACTACTGCCAAGATCTCAGTAAAAGACTGATGAAGGTAGCTGGAGCTTTTCCTAAGGGAGCTTTTCACTTTCTCTCAGCAGGCAGGCTTTTTTTCTAAGGAAAATTTTTTTGCTGAACTACCATGAACGAAAGCTGGAACTTTGGATAACAGAGTTCTGGAGCTGGTAGCTCCTGAGGTCACTGAAGTGCTCTTAAAAATCCAATTCAGGGAGTCTAATACACACAAACTCAAACCTGGACTCAACAAAACACCCATAATCATGCCTAAATAGATTTTTTTTTTGGTATTGTTTGTTTTTTCTTTTTTCTTCTTAAACACAGCACATTCACATTATATTTTCTTTGCAGATGGGTCTACCCCAACAAAATCTATCGACATTTATCTCTCATAGGAGAAATATGTGAATGATTAGCTAACTAACAGCTAGAGTTTCCGTAACTATGAAGAAAATTTACATGAAATGGAGAAATTTAAATCTCAACAAAAAAAATCCTCACATGTGGAATTAATCCTATATACAACCCAAATCAACACAATCCTAAAAGTATGTAAGAAACAAACAAAACCTGCTATGGTCAGTCAAAGCATTAAATTTGGATAGCCACAGGCAGTAACAAAAAAACCTATGCAACCTGTGAGCTGCTTTGCCCTTTCCTTACTCCACTGAGGCTTGGCAAATATTCAAGAGTCTTGTATGCTCCCAACAGACATCTTTCAAAAAAACCACCTGCGATCATGGGAGCACATTGAGTGCATGTGAAACAGCAACACAGCAGAGTCATCATACAGAAAATGACTTGAAGAACAACCTATTTCCATATAACACCTAGCAGCAATGGTACTAAAGAAGTACTGGGACAAGTATTTGAATGAGGAGTCAGTGGAATATTGAGAGGCTGTGGAAAGAGGATATACATCTTTTTTGCATGTATCTCTTTCTCCATCAGTACTGTACTTCTTATGCAATCCAATCTCATCAACAAGCCATGACAAAAGTTATTAATGAAGATAATGCTAGGAGTACACAATGTTCTCTTAGATATTCCCTTCTCATAATCTACAAGCTCTCACAGACCTGTTCTTCAGGTCTGTGAGTGAAAAAACACTTGTTTTTTCAATTCACTTTCATTCACTGAGGACAGTGCTGGGGGGGAGAGGTTGGGCAGATAACACTGCCCCAAGATTTTGGGAGTTGAGAGAGAGACCATTACTGACCTCAACACAGAGCAGAGCATCTAGTAACATGAAAGAGCAACAGGTTTTGAACAGCACTGTTGTAAAGGGTACCAAAGAGTCATTTAGTAGCCCAATTTTTTATCATTCAATACCATATAAATTTAGAATTGTGATGCTGTGTTCATATTCTCTGTTTTGAGAAAATTATAATAATGAGGATTGCTTATAACAATAAGCAATCAAGTAAGTAAAGACATAATTTTACTGATGCTACGTTGTAACAGAAAACAGAAGTTCTACAGTCTTTATGAAGTTCAAGAGTCGGTATGTTCAAGCATTTCCTCCTAGCTGTTGAATCATAGAATCATAGAATGGCATAGGCTGGAAGGGACCTCAGAGATCATCTAATCCAACCTCCCTTTCTAATTAAAGAATAGCTGTTGGATTATCCTATCTTATTGCTCTATCTTTAGTTTCTTAGTAGTCCTAACTTCTCTCTCAAGAGTTAATTAGCAGCTATAACTATGTTCTAATATAATACACCACGTGCTGCTGAACTGCTCACATCCAGACAGTCCTGGCTTTCTTCCTCCCTGTTCAGCACTTTAAGCAGGTCCCTTGGCTCTCCTGTTTCCTGTATAGAACTGCTTTCCTCTGCAGTAATTACACGCTGATAGTCCACTCAAAGTCCATAAGGAATAGAACATGAAAAGTCTCAGTCTTCAAAACAGCAAAAGGTAAAATTTGCTAAATAAATCTGTGCACCTTATACAAGATCTCCTACAAGGTCAGTGTACAGGAAATTTATGAAACAAAAAAATAATGAACACTTCTGTTTACTGTCACAACTGTGTGAGTCTCAAAATGACTACATGTACATGTATGTATATACCTGTACACACAATATATGGGGCGGGAGGAGGGGGTGTATTTATACAGATGTGCGTATGAAAGAAAAGGCTCAGAAGTTCCTGTGCTTTTGCATTGAGGGCTCAAGGGAGTGGAAAGGAAAGGTGTGGCAGACTGATAACTGGAACTTCCTGAAATATTGACTGAATTTCCATATATAATTTTCTGACTTCCTTGAGGAAGAGGGTCAACACAGGCTTTATAGACAGTCGTTTTCAAGTGCACCCAAGCACTTAGATTATCTTAAATTTAATTAATTGACTTCATCTTCAGCATAATAATTAGCAGAACTATGTGTTTTCTTTAAAAAATTTGAAACCACTCTTACTTTTATTCCTATTGCAGTATGTAATACATTACAATTACTTGCTACTGTGTAACTATTACACTACATTAGCATTAGAACAGCACCAAAAACATCCCATTCTGAAAAAAATCTTCTGACAAATCATTGTACAGTCTTCAAAACAACGAGAGAAGCAATCACACACCATTTTCCAAACTGGATATCATAAAAGATTGGCTTTTAAACTAAAAAAAATGTTATTTATATTTTCAAAATGAATAATTTCTGAAATTTGCATTACATATGGAACCTTTCAAAACTGAAAGATTTATCATCCTTCATCCTCATCCCAAGACAGCAAATAGCCTAGCAGTCAACCCGCTTATGTCACAAATGGAAAAGTAAGTTTTAAATCCTTGTCCTGAATTAGAACAAACCACATTGAGACTCTGGGTCTCCCACATTCAAGCCCAGTATCCTCATCACTCAAGACTGGCTCTTCCTAGATCCATAGTTGTTCATTAAGGCAAATTGGTTTTGAAAAATGTCTAAAAATTAATAACCTTCCTATGGGTGAAAAATGCTTTACCTACAAATTCATCTTCAAGACTATTCAGCAACACCTTAAGAGTTCAATAAAAGCTACTTTTATACCTTTGCCCTTTGTTTCCATGTCTAGAGAAATTTTAGATTGCATACAGGCCTCACATTTCTCTCATCTCAAAATAATAAGTGTTCCCACATTACATAGAAAAGCTACAAACTAAAGTGGGAAAAAAATACATCAGGGATGCTCAGAAAAAGAACAAAATACAATGTTAGCTACACTTAATTCTTTGCCTTATTTCAATTCTATCTGAAGTCAACATTGATCCTATATTAGACAAAAAGGATGCCCAGATTTATCGGTATCTTCAATGGAAAAATTGAAGGCAAGTCCAGATGGTAACATTTACTTACTCATCTATTTGAGACACACATGTTTCCACCTCTTTCAGTGCAGCTTGCAATTTGAACAGCAATTTTTGATAGACATCTTGTGTTTCTAAATCTTCTTCTTTTAAGAGGTACCTTAGACCATGGCCCTCTTGCTGGCCAAGAGATTGTCCTGAAGGGGCAGCCATAGTAGTAATGGTATGTTGGACATAAATCATGGGATTCAGTTTACCTAGGAATAATCCAAAGAGCTTACATCATTATCCTTTTTCAACACACATTTTGGTTAATAAAATACCTCAGAGACATTGAAATATTTTCCTGCTTAAAACATCATGTAATTATTTATTTTTGCATTTTATTTTACATATCAAAGTTAAGCTATTTAAGAACAAAGTTATTGTGAAATTACAACTAGCTTTTATTATGCTTTAAAACAAACCTAAGTATCAAAAATAGGGGGATTTCATAAAAGCTTGTCCTTAATTTTAATATCTGGGACATAAACTGAAACCAGTTACCTTTTACAACTCTATATCAGAAGCACTGGGAGCAGTTCTTTCAAGCTCAACTGACTTACCTTGGTCAGTGTTTTTATTTTCCTTTTCATGGGAGGAATGTTTTCTGCTGTCTAACTGTACACCAAAGGCACTACCAAGGGAAGTTGAGGTTTTAGGATAAGATACTTCCATCACATTGATATGGCAATTAGTTGGACAGAAATCACTGCTGTGAAGTGGTGAAATCTTCGATTTAGCTTGTTTGAAGGTAGGCCAAGCTCTGTTTTTTAATACTCTTGAAAACTAGAAGTGAGAAAGAAAATGAAATTTTGATTAACAGCTTTTGATGTGTCAGCACTTGGCTGACAAAACTTGTGTACCTGACTAGAAAATAAAAGTTTAAAATATTTCAGGCATCCTTGACTTTAGATGTCTTGACTTCTTAATTTCCATCTCTCTCTACAAGGGAATGAAAGAATATTTTCATGTTATATTTTTGAGGGGTTTGTTTTTGAAGTAAATTATATTTACAAATATAAATAGCCTTGTAACAAGGAGATAGAATTTATTTTCCTTGCAACATAATAAAACATTGTCTTCCTGGTTTCCAACTCTGGAAATTCTCTGTGATCCAGTACAGTACTGCACATAACATTTGTAAACACCTGCTGATAAAGATGTTTTCGAGCCAATGTCTTGTAAAAATTTCTTAAATTTTTGCCTAAACCTATATTAAAGACAGAAGTGGAAGCTATGAATTATGAATTTCATCTTCAGGAAAGATGAAGTCCTCCCTAATGGTTTCCTGGGCTGCATTGCAAGAGGCATTGCCAGCAGGTGGAGGGAGGTGATCCTGCCCCTCTACTCAGCATTGGTGAGGCCACACCTGGAGTACTGGGTCCAGGTCTGGGCTCCCCAGAAAAAGAGAGACATTGGCATCCTGGAGAGACTGCAGTTAAGGGCCACTAGGATGGTTAAGGGATTGGAGCATCTCTCCTATGAGGGGAGGCTGAGAAAGCTGGAACTGTTCAGCCTGGAGAAGGCCCAGGGGGATCTCATCAATATATTCAAATACCTGAAGGGAGGGTGCAAAGAGGACAGAGCCACGCTCTTTTCAGTGGTGCCCAGTGACAGGACAAGAGGCAATGGGCACAAACCAAAACCCAGAAGGTTCCCTCTGAACATCAGGAAACACTTTTTCACTGTGAGGGTGACAAAGCACTAGCATAGCTTGTCCAGAGAGGTTGTTGAGATGTCCCTCCTTGGAGATACTCAAAAGCCATCTGGACATGGTCCTGGGCAGCCATCTCTAGGTGGCCCTGCTTGAGCAAGGGGGTAGGACAAGACCTCCAGAGGTCCCTTCCAACCTCAACCATTCCATGATTTTGAGTGATTCTGTGAAGCTGACAAACACTGGAGCATAAAAATTGCAAACACCATATTTTATAAACTTTGCTAGTTCACCACCTCTTCTCTCCCACATATATCAGCTAAGCAATGATGAACGTTTTTTTCATGGTCTAATTCCAACACAGTGCTTAGCCACATCTTCACTATAACACCTGAAATTTTTTGCACACACTTGAACAGGCTTAGATTTATTTGTTTTTTAAGACAAGTTGGTGTCAATCCAAAATGGCTAAGACTGAACTGTACTAAAACTGGACCCTTGGAAAATATACCTACTTCAGAATCATAAAAGTCTCGAGATTAAGCTCTCCCACTTGAAAAGAGACTTGTCAGTCACAAGTAGGATTTTTGTCAAAACGTGTCCTTTCCAGTGCAGTTTGTTGTTAAGGGAGATTTTTTTCAGGAGGAGACGTCATCAGTACCAAGCCCCTAGTAATCACAGTATCTCTCCAGTCAAAATATTGCACAGACCTACCTCAGCTATGGAGCATAGCTCATGCATAAGAATATTTTCAAAGTTGCAAAGTTCCCTAATAAATGTCAGTACAAACTCAATCAGGCAAGTTTTGACTAGCATTTCAGTTGAAGAAAAGTATGTCCCTTCTCAGTAATAACAGGTTTTTGTGCTGGTTTTTAGATTTCTGTTTATTTTGGTGTCATATTACTTCAGCCTGATGAACATTCGACTGATTAATTACATTTAAATCTTTATATCAGAACAAGATCTGGAAGGTTACAAGAAATCCAATTATGGAATTGTTCGAAGGCTGAAGAATGTACAAATAGTTAAGAAGGGCACTAAGGACATTCAACGATGAAAATGTTCCTGCAAGCAGTACATATTTCACATCTCAATCTCCCACACATCCTGCTCCAGAGAGACCAAATGCCTGGCTATGATTTAATCAGGTCATAAGTCAAGCCCAAAATTCTTTTCATATATGTGTTGAGAAACATCTGGGACTCATGGCACTGGACTCGAGGTCTATTATGAGCAAAATGTTCTGATAATAATAATAGTAGGAACTGCAGAAATCTACAGGGTTTCTATTTATAGAATTCGAACTTTCACAGTGAAACCAGAAGCCAAGCCAGGCTCAGGCACTCTGAAAGTCTCCTGTAACTATGGTTACACCTTTACCTTGCCAAGAAAATGACATATCTATTCCTGAATTTCATTGTGTTACTAATTGTCATTAAAAGCTGGAACTGTGAAACTACTGATTTTTGAGCAGATGAGCTTGAAAGTGCAGTTTATATCAGCAATATCTGCTTCTAGATCATATAAGCACTATGAAAACTTCCCCCAGGCTGTTTGTTCCGTATCCAGCATAGCACAATAAGATTTCAGTTATTGTCTTGGCATCCTGTAAAGAGGATGTACATCATGCTCAAATTTTCTGGCTCAAACTCTAAATACACTACTATTAATATTAAAACTAATGAATTTGGTTTTTAAAAAAGATATTTTTATTTTTAACCAATTTGAAAACATAGAGGTTTATAATTCAGGCAAACAACAGAGAGATCAGATGTTTGGTAATGCAGTATCAGAATCCTTTCGATGTCTCCTTCTGTGACTCAGCTCATCAGTTTATTCCATTTCTTGTCAGAAAACACCCTGAAAAGTCTTTGGAAATCTGCTTTTCGACCTTCACCCTACTGAAGCTCTGGGTTTTCCTACAGTTTTCCCTCTTTTTCTTTTGAAAAACGAGAAAACATTATGTGTTCTTTACCATGCAACGTTTAGAACTGTGTGAAGCTTTGACATTGAACCTCTTTTCCCTTTTTCTTTTTTTTCTGTTTTCAATTTTTTGCATATTAACTCTCAGAACAGACCAGTTTGTGAATGTCCTAACTTTAGATGCATCAGAAGGAAAAAAAATAATTCTGCTGTTATTGCTTCATTTTTGGTTAACATCTGCAAATTCACTAGAGTATTGGTTTAAGACATTTACAAGAATGCTGGGTCTTTTGCGGGAAATACACAGTTGATTGTATCTACAACCGAACACAGCAGAACACAGCAAACAAGAAAGGATACAATCTACCCAGTATCTAAAAAAGGGATAATAAAAAAGTATGGTTTGAAAACAATTTAATGCAATTACTCAGTTTAGGCATCCACGTCTCGAAATAACTCAACTTTCAGCCATGTTTTTGTCATTGCAATAGACATTTTGAAGAGTTATTCAAACTACCACATTCCCCTGTTTTGCCCTTAAAAGACAAATATCACCAAGCTTAGGACATGCCGGTCATACCTTTTTATAACTAGAGATTCTTCGGTAGATATGCTCAATTTTCTCACTGCAAATGACACTGAATTTACTTTGAAGCTCGGTGGGGATCACTTCATTTAAGGAATTAAGGCTGTTGCAGTTCTGCACAAAATGTTCATCGCTTTTTGCCAGCGCTTCAAGGATCTAAGATAATAAAACCAGGAGCAGTAACGTTATGAAATAAGATGACTAAGATAACCCCTTACTTAACCCCCCTACTTATCATCCCATATAATTAAAGCTAAAAAGCCTGATAATCAGCTGCCTTTTAACATTAACAAGCAATGCTGCATAAGAACAATTAATGAAACTTGGGAAGCAAAGAGGTTTCTTTAAATTGCACAAGTTATACCCATAATAAGTACTTTTACTCGGCTTCTCATGACATTGTCTGATAATGGATTTACCACTAATTTCCTACTAATGTAAGCACTACGGCTCCTCTGAAACACATTATCTGCCGGATTTACTTGAACAGCACATATTATGCAAAGCTGATGAATTAATTCATTACTTGTAGCAAAACTTCGGTCTGGCAGTATAAGAGCTACTAACACATTGAAAAATTATACAAGAAAACAGAGTGCTATCCTTTTGTATATTCTGCATATATAAACAGGAAACAGGGAACAGAATAAGCTATACTGCCCAGCAAAGACTGAAGTCTGGCTATGATGGAAATAGCACCAGCAAATGATAGTGACAGAAAACTGAAAAAAAGGCATGCCAAAGAGATGAGGGTAGTATATAGCCCTTATTTTGGAGTTAGAGTTACATTTCAGGTATTGAAATTCACTGTGTTATGGAACTTGGGAGATGCCTTTGGCTGGTTGGGTCCAACTCTGAAGATGTGCTTGAAAAACACATCCAAAATAACTTTCTAACAAAGGCACTCAAAATCCAGATTAAGGCACCTAAATAGGAAAAGGCTTGCATTTTAGACATGCTCAAAGAAATCTGGACAAACACCACATACAGTATTAATCCGTCATGGGACTCATGTCTGTAATTCATTTCTGCTACAGCTCATTATTATACTATTCACCATCACAGATATATGATTTAGCAGCTTGACCAAGGAGTTTAGAAAAAAAATGACAACATATAGAAATTTTGGCATGCAAAATCTGAAGTTTTTAAGAAGTCACAAGTTATAAATTACTAGATCCTAAGAGAATTTTTTTTCTGAGGTCCCCAGCAGGATGACTTAAGGAAAGCTTTAACTCTTGCTAAAGGATTTAATTACTGTATTTAAACACCCCAGTCACTTTGGTCACACTTTTAAGCTTCCTTTATGTCAGATTTAATTAATACAAATCTAAATAATTGAAGTGGGTTGTTTTGCAGCTGAACATTAAAATAAGCGCATTCAAAACCAGTAACTTCTGCAGCGCAACTTTGGATGCTTTCTCATCAACACAAAGATTTGCACAATACAGGAAAGCAGTGCAGGTTTACTTCACTCCCCTACTACATATGATGCAGAACAGATATGTTTAAAAATGCAAAGTAACAATAAATACACAGCAAAGAGAAAGAAGCACATGGAGAGAAGCACAAGATCCCACTGAATGCACAGAGAAATTAATATTTAGAGTATTAAAAACCATTTGCAGACAGTTATATTTGATGAAATGCCACTACAATTTTTAATATTGCCTTTGAGTTAAGGGATCTGATTTTAATACCAGTGGACTTTTTGTAATCATTTAGACAACTGTCACTTGACATAAACTTTATATTATTCTAACATAGTCACATTCCATCTCCTTAATGTTTTTTATACCTTTCTAAATATTTAATTAGCCAGCCTAAACACTAAGGGTGATGACACTGCATTACGTAAGGCCAGAATCAGTGTGCTGGAAGTACTTCTTTGCTTAACTACTCCATGTACAACAATGGAAAAATGTTTCTTAAGCAGTTAGGAAATAATACCTTAAACATTTTATATGAAATTGTAATTACACCCAGAATTAACATCTTTCAGGCCAATGACTTGAAGCATTGACTAGACCAGCTCTAGCAAATCTCATGATGGTGCAAGAAATTACTCTCCTGTCTGTCAACCTGACCTGCTCCAAAGTGAAGTCAAGGAAAAGAAACAAGTGCCCAGGTCTCAGTCAGTAAAAGATCAGCACTTTAGTTTACACTTCTGATGGAAAGATAAACAGAGAAAGAAATTTGCAGACACCAGTACACTTCCCAAAAGTTTGGGCTTTCATACTTTCATTAAGTGTACTTTGTTAGCATGTGTGTGAAAAGATAAAACCAAACTTAGTAAAAGAGCTGAATTACTACATTATTTGTCAACCTGACCCAGACAATACCAGATATATATATAAAATTTCACGTCCCATTCATAGCCATCACAGATTTTACTATTTGGAAATATTCACAAAACAAAAACTCCAAAGTAAACTCTAAAGTTGCACTTTTTTTTTTTTCTTCCTCTGTGATTTTGCCAATGCCTGTGCCTGTATGTGCACAGCTTTATTCTACTTTCAGACACAGGAAAGACAGATGTGCTACTCTCTTTACTGAAAAAAAAATTTAAAAGTTAAACTCCAATGAGATTATCAACTTTTGGAAACTACAGCCTACCTTCACAAAGTTTTCACATTTCAGTAAGTCGTTGACTTCAAGTTTTATTTGATAATTCAGAAAAAAGGGAGAGGGGTAGGAGGAATGGAAGACTTTGAAGTTCTTTAACATAGTTTCAGTTTAGAGGCTCAAATTATAACCACAACATAACTTAGTTTGCTTCCTGAGTACACAATCATCCTTCAAAACGTCAGGGATATGAAGGTCACTAATTTTAAGATATTAAATGAAGTACATATAATCATAAGAGTAAGCAAAATGTTGCTCCATTAGTATTAAACATAGTAAGAATTAATGCAATACAACACAGAAATTGCTTCACACCTTTGCAGTCAAGCTGAAAAATCCCTTTGGTTCGATCATCTTTTCTAACACGTGGCACTTTATTCCAGCTGTGCTGTCATACTCATAAACCACTCCATACTCCAGGTGAACATTGTCAACAGTCAGACTCACGTGATCTTTCTTCCCATCAATTATTGCCATAGTGTTAAATTTGTCAATCACCTCTAGAATAAAGCAAATAACAGAAATTAGTTGACGAGGGTTGGTCATTAAACAAACTAAAAAGGACATAGCCAAACCTTCTAGAAACAAGTATGCTCTGATCATTCTACTTAGAAATGTTTATCAAGAAACACAGCTGCCAGCTGAATGATTTAAAAATCAGAACAACAGTAGGTTCAAGATGCTGAAATACTAGACGGCTAAAGAGGCATGAACAGGCAAGTCACAGCAGTCTCTCTTTACAAACATTTATTGAAGGGGACTAATTCAATTTCATTTATAATCCAGAGATATAAAAAAGGCAACAAAAAAAGGGAAAACTGAGAACTTCTAAATAAACTAGAAGAAAACGACCATGAAAAGCGTCAACATTCAGAAATGAAACCACAATATCAGCACTTACCCAGAGAACACAAATACAGTTCACATGTTAACTGTCTCTTTAATTACCATGATGCAGATGAATGCAGCTTTATCTAAATGTTAATTGCTTGAAAATAATCTGAAGGATAGCTAATAAGTCATTTCTCATGCAGTAGTGACTAATGCATCTAATTTAGCCTTAAATGATTACTAGTGGTGAAAATAAATCAGGTAATTCCTAGGATTATGTATCCTATGAATGAAAATTTAACAGATTTCCCTTAAAGAGTTCACAGAAGCTTTTTCTCGAAATGGGAAACATAATAATTGTCAGAGAACAGCATGTTAAATTTGCATCTTTAGAATACATAAAAAGAAGCAAATCCTTATGTAAAATGCATCTCATGGTTTGCTTGCTATTTCCTCTTTGAAAACAAAACCACTGCCTATATATTCCTTGCTAGGACACCAACATTCTGAACAACAACAAAATCAAAACAAGCATCACATACCTTCCACTTTGCAGTCAAAGGCATCTCCTCCATCATCTCCAGAGGGCTTGGTGTTTGTTTTCTGAAGATCTTCCTGTGCACTTTCAATGCTGTTGTAAACCCACTGTATAGAATCTTGCTAAAAAAACAACAATAAAAGACAGCTAGGAAAAGCTTTGCAAGTGCAATTGATAGCAACTTATTTCACTGCTTTCAAACATGAAATAATTGCTTTAATTCCCTGATTATGATCAGCTTTACTGCCTTCTGAGCTCCAAGTTAAAAATAGTATTTTGAAAATTACAGAGAATTTTGGCTTTGTCTAAAACCATCTGAAACATTTTGTCAATTTATTTCTTATTTCAGAGTATACTGTCATGAGACAGTATGAAATCTGTGACAGCATGACATCCACCAGTTCCATGTCTCTGCCAAAAATAATTTAAGACATTTCAAATCAAACTGCAGATTGAAAAATATTTGAGACAAGAAATAATGAAAAAATAAAGAGAAACAATTTTTGCCTTCCTAAATCTGCTGTGCATCCACAGATTTGCTGGCAAACGTTATGGAATACCAACCAAAGATATAGTACGTCCAGTTAATCTATCACCTATGTGTCACTGACAAGAAAAATAAACACTACAGCCCTCATTACTTATATTTATTTGCCTTTACTACAGTTATTTTACTAGATGTTCTTTATTTTTTCCCCAGAGTCGCAGAACCTCCACAAAGGACAGAATCACAAGCCTCCAAACTCCAGCAGCTTATACGACTGAGTGACATGTGAGCACTGGAATGGTGGCTTGGTCATACAACCTATGAAGAAGCCACGTGTACACCTTATATCTTGTTCTCTTCCCTCACTTACTCAGCCACATGCCCATCACATCCTTGTGGAGGGGCCTATCAAGTACAGCATCTCCAGACTACTCTTCTCTTCCCCTTACACTTTAAAAGAAGCTTGACAGTCTCTCCCTCTCCAACAGCTACAGCTGAGCAAATGACACGATTATGACTAATCTGAATTCATAGGTTTTAAAAAGAAGTTTGTGGAAGAATTCAAAGTTTAAGCTGAATGTTAAAATTTTCACGCAAAATGCCAAGTACACCCAATTATGCTTTGCTAATTACAATATTCAGCCGCTATCTTTATGCCATTAATCACAGATAACTAGATTTTTGTATGATTAAGGTACTACTTCTCTCTAGGTTTCCTAGATTCATTCATGCCTTACTTTTCACTCAATGTCACTGAAATATTTTAATAAGGAAGCATAACTTTCAGAGCTCTCTGTTGACTGTTGAAAGACACCTGTGCACGAGGCGATGGATAGAAACACTTCTGAAACCCAGGCTTCTTTGCGGGTACACCTGAAAGCTTGCTGCTTATTTACGGAGTCTTACAGGTTTGCTTGGCAGCATTAAGACTGCCATGCCAACCTCTAATAGGAGATTTACATTATATCACAGGGTTCCTTCATTATTTGAACTTAACATGGCCTAATGGAAGGACTAACTACTTAAACGGGAAGTTCCTCTTTCAAAAGTTAACACAAGATATAATGCAATACGATTTGGGGCAATGTTCTCCAAAAGCATTACAGAGGCATAAACTAAGCGTAAATCTGTCACATCATGATTAGTATCACTGCAAAGAAATTGTAATTCCAAGAAGTAAAATTTGCTTTCAAGTTCCTTTATCTAGACAATACAGAAAAAATATAAACATTGTCCAACAGAAGTTACACACTTATTCAAACTGCAAGAATCTGAAATGAAATTTCATGCTTCAGGCAAGCAGGAAGACTCTTTGCCCTGAGAAACAGAATATACAGGAAAGAGAAAAAGATCCCCTTTTAATTATGCAATTACCAACCACAGGAGAGACTGCAATATTCATGTTAATTAAATGATAGGCTAATGCACTGTACTTATAAAACATGAGAAATCCATAGTCATCTTCCAAATAATTAAAACCCCACATTTCTGAAATTTTAGCTTTCTTGACACCAGTGGGAATACTGCCATTTATTTCAGTCTAGACAGTTCTCCCATAGTGTTTGAGAGCACTACATCCTAAATGCAGTTTTTCTTGTCAGTCTGGGGGATTTTAGTTATTTGTGATTTGCCAAATTATGCTCAGCTACTTTTTAAGACTGAAATAAACACTCTGCATAGGAAAAACAGTTATGTACTCCAACATATTATACAAGTGGATTAACAAAACAGTAATTTTGCATGTCAAGGCATCCATGACAACCAACATTAATCAATCCTCTTTGGATGTCAATAATCTCTATAGGAACTCTACAGTTATAAACAGAGAGAACACACCTGCTATAAAGAATCCAATTTATCTTTTAATTCTACCCAGTTTTGCTACTAGTGCACAAAGCATCCTCTCTTTACTAGAGCCCATCTTCCTTTAAAGAATAGGTGAGCTTGATCTTGATATGCTGTGTAACAACTTCAATTCTACACTACAGTTTAAATACAAACATCCAGACAAATATTTTCATAAAGGCTTTATTTGCATGACACAGTTCTAACTAACTCTTGCTTATAATTCTTATCTAATATCTATGCGGTAGGTGTGGAAGAAGGATTTTGCTCTTGATTTTTATTGGATTTTTCTTCTCAATCAGCACAAACTGGAAGAGTTTGTGAGGTTAATTAATGAAATAGGTTCACAGTTTATGAAAAATTTCAAGGACTTGGAAAAATTACATTATAGAATTCAGCTGGTTTTGGTTTTCTTCCTTAAATTTGTGTCTTGGAAGCCTGAGTTTTTCTCCTAAACTAACGTGAAAAAGAACAAAAGTTGCATGCTTATACTAAAAAAACAGAAAGTTTGTGTCCTTGCATGTATGTTTATTCCCAAGATTGGAATGTAATGGGAACACACAGACTTTTACAGATGGAACATGTGCACTCTGCTCTCTATGTGCTGAAGTGTTACAAAACTCTGGAGGAAGATCAGCTTTTTGCATTGCACTCTCCTGCTGCTGAGCAGGCAGCGAGCTGTGCAAATTCCTCTCCATCATGATGAAAATATACCTCGTAATGCTTTCTGCATAGGACAGCAGAAACACTTGAAATAATCCTTTAAAAATCCCATATGAAAAAAAATTAGCTATAAGCTCAGATTTATTTCAATGCAAAAATTAAATAGACCTTGAACAACAGCAATATATTGAGCAACCTTCAGCTTTTATAAATCAGCTAGCTTCCCCTCACTTTTTCTCAGCACTCCTTTCCCCACATCCCACTCAAACACAACAGATACATGGTCAGAGATACACACCACACTGTTTACTTTGGGGAAAAAACCAACTGACCAAAACAACTTGGAAGAAAATCTGCAAGGGTACCAAGTGAGACATACCTGCATTGGCCGCCGGTACTTCCTGCATGCCGTGACATGAGCAATAACACTTGCGTGAGTCTCTTTGCTGACATTAATTCCATTCACTTTGATTATGCATTGGCCAGGGTGGAGACCCGCCGCAGCTGCCACCGTTCCTATTTAAAAAACCCACATAGTTAACAGGCTTCTTTTCCCAAACATCTCCTTTAAAGCTTAGAGTCCGAAAGGATAATTTTTTAACCAGAATCTGCTCTCATCGATTCTTATATACTTCCCTGACCACACGGTGCTTCTGCAGTCAGTTGGACTTGAAGAAAATGGAGTTCCCCAGCAGATGATTCCATAAAAAGAGGCCAGACTATTTTATAAAGTCTGTTTTATAATAAGGTGTTGATTAGTAATATAAAAATGTGGAAAATTTGCCTTAAAGAAAAGGGTTTTAAAAAGATAAAAAGGCTGTAGCTTGAAACTCACTAATCATAACTTAGACCACTTTTATTCTGAACTCTTTTATATGCTCCAAGCTTATGAGCTTCTTGACTACTTCAGGTTATCTCTATTTTACATACAAAACAGAAGCTTTCAGACAACTCATGAAGAAGTATCAGAGCATACTAGACTTTCTTGTGCCAGGGAAGTCCAAATCTATGGGCTAGAGATTGCAAGGCTAGCAGCTAGCTGCTATGAAAAGGCTAGACTGAATTTGCAGGGCTGACAAACAGAATAGGTATAGGTACTATCAGGTTAGATGATAACTGCATTTTAAATCTAATATCAAAGGAAGTCTTTAGAAATGACACCATTACCAGACATTGCAATCCCTCTCCAGAAAAAGATTTAAAAATAAACATTTAAGTAGGCCTTATTAAATATCTCTCAAAAACAAACAAACAAACAAAAAAGAATCTCTCCTCAAAAAACCCAAGGTCCCAATTCAGCAAAGTATTTAAGCATATGCTTAAAGTCTTTCAGGCTTAGCAAACCACACAACCCAGCACTTACATACTGTTGAGGCTAATTGGAATAAAGCACATGCTTAATGAACAAGGATAGGCAGTTGAATTGAGATCCAGGTGCAGAAATAATTATCACATCAGCTCAACAGTCTGTAGTTTATTAGAGTTTCTCTTGAAAATCTAATTTCTGGCACCACAGCCTAGAAAAAAGTCATCGAGCTCTGTTCAAATCTGGCTGCTTTGCAGATCAGTTCACTTTAAATTCCTCAATTACAAAGGGAGGAGGGGGGAAAAGGACACAACTGCCCCACAATAGCTAAAAATACAGTGTTAGTTGGCTCTACCACTAACAACATGCAACAGCAACAAAGAATGCTTCAACTTCTTTTATCGCCAGTGCACCAGTCAAGAACATACTAAGTTAGAGAGGGCAAACTTTTGATAATCACATCACAAAATGGACAAAACAGTACCTAGAGGAAACAGGAAACATTTGCCATTACTAACACAGACTAGGTCACTTGCACCCTTGAAAAGACTTGTGAAAAGTGCATTTTCTGTAAAATGTTTTCAGAACATAGCAGAGCCACATGGTCATCTAACAAATTAATGCTCAGGAAGTGAGACGTTCCCAACATCCATTCACTGGATAAGGTGATTTTGCATCCTTCATCTATTCCTTAGTCTGTAAAGAACACACGGCCTTAACTTAACTTTCCTATATTTGCATAAATACATACCAAAAAAAAAAAAGTTACAAAGTACAAGAACACGAAATAATCTTATTTGGTTTTATTTAATACTGTTTGTTACTTCAGGGCGGGGGGAGGAGACAATCTACACTGAATCACTGGACCTAATTTTGATTTCTCTCAAGGCCATTTAGATATTAAATGTATACTTACCACTACCATTAACAGCTCTTACAGCTTACCTCTCCCCACAGCATGGACAACTGAAGGACCAAAGCCCCGGATTTGGAATCCAAGTCCATCTGCAGAGTCAGGAATCTTCACTGTCCTGAGACAAGCAGAGATTTAACACGAGCATAGCAAAAGGCAGTATTTTGTTATTCAAGACAAAAGTGGACAGCAATAAGCAAGTTACAAGGGTGTAAGACTCCACACTTTCATTCAACTCAGAGCTTCAGATTCAGCACCATTCATATTCCAGATACTTTGCACCACTGACATCAGAAATAAGAGCAAGCTGAGATACCGAAACCATTCCAAGGAAGGTAATACCACTTCATAAGGAAATTCAATATGCTGATTACAACCAAAGCACCACTATAGCTTTAAAATTCCTCCCGAAGAGACTGCAATTTGAGTAAGTTGTCACAGCACAGCAAGACTGAAAGCCCTGGGAAGGCAGGCAGTCTCTCAGCCAAGAGGACAGAGCCTGGGGACCACAGATCATGGCAGGCCTTGCCAGATGAGCTCCAGAGGGCTGCAGAGACTAGATTCACATCACATTTTGTTAACATCTAAGCATCTACAAGGTGAGTTTTATTGAAAAAAAAAATTTGTTGCAGTTTTTCTGAGCAGCCATGCAAAGTACTAAGCTTTGTAAAGCATGAATCACCTACTACTGTTCATATAACTTGTAAGCACATCGTGCCACGTTCCCGCTTGGTTCAAGTGCAACAGTAATAAACCTACTGACAAACATAACGAAGAAAAACACAGTTCTGAGAATCAAAAGTCACATCTACTCCTTAAAATGAAGCCCTGAGCTCGTCCAAAGTAAGCTAGCATATCGACACAATATCAGCTCAGGTTCCAGCAAAAGCAACACAGCTGCATTAGCCCTTATCAGAGGTAGTTAGGTCATGCATAACAGTGCACTGATTTAACTTTGCAGCCTTTACTTCTAGAGCCAGCTCCGTTATTATTTAAGGGATCTTTGCCCTGAGCTCCATTTGCAGTGCAAAAGCAGACACATTCAAATTGATGCTGAAAAGTGATTTTAAAATACATTCGGACTGTAATAAACTTATTTACAGGTAGTTTTGAATAACATTGCACCATTTCTTGTACTTTCATGTTTTTCTAGTATACATAGTGTTTAGCATTTGGAGACAATTACCAGCAGAGGTGAGATCCAAAACCTGCTGAAGTCTATAAATTTTTTAAAAAATATTAGAATATTCTTGAGATTAATAAATTTTCATTTGCAATATTTTCAAAATTATAGTATCATTTAGTATACTTATATAGTAACTAAGGCTGATACAAACTATATGGCTTCATTCTGAAAATGCTTTGTGAACATGCTAATGAGCTATGAAAGACCAGTTTAGGCTAAGAATTTAGGAAAAAACTGTCTTTTCTGTCAACACAGTTGTGCTAGCAGCAGCTCCTGACAAAAAGCAGGCAGCACTGAGAAACCAAGATGAAGATCTACATTAAAGAAAGGCCAAGATATGCCTTTTATGCTTTCTATGACACTATCATCTACTGGTTTTGCAAGATTTTGTTGTTGTTTTTGCTTGTTTGTTTGTGGGGGTCTTTTTGGAGTATCAGTCCAGATGATCACCTTTATCCAATATTTATTTCTTTGTTTTTTTCCCCTTTCTCGTTCCATTGTACTTCTCAAGACACGTTTGCTTATTAACAGGGGAACTATGTCTCGATTCTACCATTGAACCAGAGCCATTCCCAAGGCACTCTATGTAGATTGTTCCTCTTTAACCTGCAAAATTTCATGAAAATTACTCCTGACCATTGTTTTTTACTCTCCTCTTTCTTTGGTATGTATAAACTATTAAGGAGTGCATTAACTTTATTAATAGACCTATGCTCATTTACATAATTACTGAACCCAGCTCTTAGGCCTCATTTTGTATTTCTTTTACATAATAAAAATTGCATTCAGGTAGGAACGGTCAAATCTGTGTATGGAAATGCTTTGTTACATAAAGATGGAGAGCTGTTTACTTGCTCCTGCTGTTTACACAACCAGCAAACACACTGACGGGGCCCATCACAGAGTCTGACTTCTGCCAAACCAGCAACTAATCCCCAGACAGAGGAACTTGTTTAATAAACACAGTGAGAGATAAGCCATCAAAACTGTCCATGTAGTCAAGGAAACTTCATTTACACTTGCGGTTCCTACACGTATTTAAAGTGGCAAAGCTGATGATCTAAAGCACTTGTGTTTTGCTTTTGCTTACTAACACATGTAATAAAACAAAATCAAAGTAGATCAAATTGCTTGACTTTACAAAGTCAGATTAGATACAGCATTTAAAGTAACTTTACAGTAGTGCTGTCTGAAGTTCCACTGGTCTTTAAAAATTCACTTCAGTTTGTAAAAACTCCCCCAGAGGAATGACAACTTACTCCCGTGGTTTAGTGCTCACAAGAACCCGCAGGGGCTTTCTGCTGTTTAAACATGCTTTCAGGAAGCAATCCACTTCACTGAAGGGGCGCAGAAAAACCAGGTCACCGTTAATGGCAAAGATTTTTTTCCCAACTTCCAAGCCTGCCATCTGGAAAACAACAACAGTTGTGTATATGTTTGCCTTTTATAACCACCAACAAACATTTTGTTTTCTTCTGCTGGCATGCTACTCCAATAAGAATAATGACACACACATTTCCTTTACATTCTTTATGCCTCCTTCGAATATCGTGAACAAAAGACGTACACCACAAAACGCTTCTAGAACTGGTTAAATTGACATGAAGGGTACAGTAAACACTCATTCAAGAGACCTAAATACAAGACCTAGTCTTAATCAAGATTTTATGACAGTATTACAGTATCTGTTAATATCTGTAATAATTAACACCACAGCTTTCATTGAGGCAGTCTGGGTTTTTTATGACATTACCTAATTTGTCCATCCGTCATTATCCAAAGGAACTAAAGCTTCTTTTCATAAGGAAAGACCTGATTAATATTTTATTAAGTTCCAAAATAAAACAATATCCTTAAATGTTTCATGGCCTTTGAGCCAAAGGTAGGGCGAGCCAAATTGCACACAGTTTTTAAAGTCTGGTCTAACAAGAAAGGAATTGTAACCAGCTGGATGGCAAGAGTACAGAGAGCAGCTCAGGGCACGGGCTAAGCCTTAGCACCTTCTGAGATCATGGCAGAACCTGACTGCTAGAAGTCACCCTGGATATAGATCTGTGGCTGTATTATGAGACTGATTTACTGTATCTATTTTTAGCTTAAATATCTATTCCACCATGAGATTTAGAAAGGCTTGATATTTAGTTCTAAAATTTTTCTCTCATGGAAAAGACTCGTTCTTTATCTTTACATGAATAGAGACTCCCATGCAGTTCAGTAGAATATGAATTTACCCAAAGAGCATCTAAAGCGATACTAACATTAAGGCTCTAATTTATTCATTCAGATTCTTAAATTCTACACTTTATCCAAAGCTTGATATATCCTTTATTACGAAATAGATCAAGTGCAACTCACAGACTAGCTTTATTCTCTTTCATATTCTACCAAAAACATTTTTTCCACTTATGATTAATGTCATCAGTGGAACATTATAAAATGGATAAAAATAAAATTATAACTTTTATATCACCACTCAATATGACAATTTACTTGAGCAGAATATGAGTGTTGATAACGGTCAGAGCAATATTTTAAACAAAAAAAAAAAAAAAAGAAACAAAACCAAAGGAAAAAGTTTTATAAAATAAGATTCATAACCACAGCTTTCTTGGAAAGTTGTCATTGTTACCTTCTACTAATATAGATTTTCCTAACTGATGTACAAAACATACACCCATGATCAAGTGAATAAAACAGGGAAGACAATTCATAATACTTGATACCTCAGCATTTGATCCTTTCTCCACCACTTTAATAATCGGCACCTTATTTTTATCTTCTAAACCAAAACCATAGGTGCCTTCATTAGATTTAATCTGAAAAATAAAATTGTTCAAAATATTGTTCAGAAAGGCATTAGGAAAAGCTATGCTATATCCCCATTAAATAACAACACACAGTGCTAATTTATTGTCACTGTAACTAATTTTTTTCCTCATCAAAGCATACAACCTTTGGGTTTCACTCACCAGTAATGACTTGGCTATGACATTTTCCACTACTTTCAGATCATGTTTCATGAGTCTGTGCTTCATATTTGACCCTTCCATTTCTTCATCCGCATAAAAACGGAACAGCAGTGGTTCATCTTTAAATTCGCTTTTCTCTAACACTGTATGATACAAACCCACACTTATTAATCCTTTTTTTCTTTTGAAATTTTGAATATCATGTCTTTCATAAATCATAAAATACTGAACATTCATGCATATATTAAATATTAGCAAACTATTTTTGTGTGTGAATCTAGGAAAACCTTAATTTTTAACATAAGCGACAATTTTTATTTGGATCCATTACAGATAGGTATCACTAAGCTCATTTTCAACTACCACATCTGGATTCAACAAAGCTGAGGAAGACGTATTAGCCTGAAATGGTTTTAAGTGAAAATGCCAAGCACAAGGGTTTTTCCTAAAAAGGATTTAAAAACATGATTTTGAAAAGTTCTGCTGGACAGCTGCTGGAGATGCTCACCACCAAGTTCTGGCACTCTCCAGGTGGTAAGGCATGCCAGGTTCAGTATTAGAAATGGGTTTGGTGGGGATGTGGAAGCAACTAGAAGAGCAGACAGATGCAGTTTGCATGTTTAAAAGTCAAAGGAAAGCGAATGAACAGTGCCAGTGAGGAAGTTAATTCTCCCTCCTTCTCTAAACAAGCTGATGAGAAAAGTCATTATTACTTCCCTCTTCTCATTTCAGTAAATGACCTACTGCTTCAGTCCTTTCACTGAAATCTTCCCTCTGATGGTATTAAACGTGACCTTGTTCACCTCATTTTTGTACTGAGCATATCTCTGCTCTACTCTCTCTTCTTCTTTGTTCACTGCTGTCCTTATGATTTTCTCATTTTTCTAGAGTCGTCTTTCTCCTACTGTCACCACTTTACTTTTTTAAAGTCATGCTTCCCCAAACATGTCTCCTTTCTTTCCTACATATTTCCTAAATTATTATCATCTCACCTGTGCAAACATGTATTACCTGCTTGTCCTGGTTTTGACTAGGACAAAGTTAGCGGGTTTTTTAGCAGCCAGAAGAGCTCTGTGTTTTGGATTTAGTCTGGGATTTCTTATGAGAACAATGTTGACAGCACACTGATGTTTACAGTTGGTGCTGAGACACTGAGGACTTTTTAGCTTCCCATGTTTTTGCCCATGTGCCGGAGCACAACAGGCTGGGGGGGGAGCATGGCTGGGACAAAGGGCCCACAACTCCCCTTAGGATTTGAGCTTAGATTTAGGATTGAGGGCCAAACTGGCCAATGGAGTATTCATCATGCAACGTCATGACCAGTATATAGATGAGAGTTGACTAGGAAGAAGAGCTCTTGCTCTTCTGGGTATTCTCTTCTGAGGGTTCCCTCGGACTCTCGGAGTGCTCTCTCTCTTTTCGGGCCTCTCACTCATCCAGGATTGCAGTGTCGGGACTTGTTTCAAAATTGTTTGCTGGAATGGGACAGGCGGTGGTCACCGGGTGGTGAGCAATTATACTGTGCACCACCTGTTTGTATATATTATGATTGAGATATATATATATTCACATAATATTATTCTTACTTTATTGTTATCACTTAAAATTTTATATTATTATTAAATTATTCTTATCTCAACCTACGAATCTCCTTCCTTTTTCCTCTTTAATTTTCTTCCCCACTGCCCAGGGGTGGGGAAGGGTGAGCTGGCGACTGCAAAGTGTTTAGTTGCTGACTGGAATAACCACAAATCTGTTTAAGAAATTTCTCTCAAAGTAGCTAATAAAATTGCCCCCCCCAAATCCTTCAGAGGACGAATTCCTCAGTATATGCTAGAAAATTGACTGAAAATAATTTTCAGAGTATACAATAGCTATTTTTTTTCCTTGAAGATTGTAGCATAGGTCTCTTCAGCAATACAACAAAACTTCCCATCCCTTCTGTAATAACTTTACCACCTTCTGCATTTCCTTGCAACTAGGTAGAGAGCATTAAACAAATGGTAAGCATAGCTTGTACACAATGTGTTTACTTACCATGGTGCATAAACCCATTATCACAAAGAGCTACACCGAATATCATAGCTTCCTCCCTCGTCCGGCAATCCCCCTGTTAAATATACCATTTTTATTTTTTTTTACTATATTTTAATATAACAGCAAAATGGATTCTATGCACAACAGCATAACCTCACTGGCTAGGGCCAGCAATGGTTGTAGATTATATTTATCAGCACCACTTTTATAGACACATGTACAGCATACATATAAAAGAGTATATACATGTTTATCATAGAATCATGGAATAGTTTGGATTGGAAGGGATCTTTACATAGTATACCTTTTTATAGTTACAAATAAATATGTAACCATTTTAGTAACATTGCATTCTCCATAAAAATTGAACATAATAGAATCTAAAAGTTCTGAAGTTTTTAATTTTTGTTTTATAAAACTGGTACGTGTTGACTGAGTGAACAGGTTACCCTGTTGTTGTTCCTAGTTTGCTTAAAATAAAACAGAACTGATGACACTAAATTGGTACTGACTTTTCTCCATCTAGTTAGTAATTTCGAGCTTTTCAGAGGCTATCCATTTCATTTTAAGCCATGAACAATGTTACAAGCTGAATCACAAAGCTAAGTCTCATTAAAACTTCTAAAGTTCAATTGCAAATAAGGAAGATAAGCATAAAAGGGATGAACAGCATGGCTGCTGACAGCTGATTTCTGTTACTTTACTAGTTTAAGAGGATTACACTTACACACACTGTTCTAATAACCCTTACACAAAGTGTTTGCATGTTATTCTGCTTAATACATCACTACCTTTCAAATTAGAATTTAAATGCAAAATGTACATAAATCCAAGGGCGTATACTTGCCTGTGCAATCAACCAGTCTATGAGCTTGTTAGCCATGACCACAGATTTGTAGGTTCTCAAGTGATAATCTTTATCTCTGTTCAAAACAAAACAAAACATTTAAAAAAAAATCAAACAACAAAAAAAGACTAATAGAAAAAAACATTGTGTATTATAAACAAGCGAGTGCAAGCATGAATTGAGCATTTTGTAATGGTTCAGAATTTGCCTCTGCAGTAAAAAAGCAAGTCAAACCTCTCCATGTAGATAGAAAGGAGGAGGCTGACCATAACTTACATGGGCAATAAGGTCACTGGAGTATAAAGGCAGTTGTTTTGTTACAGCTGGGACTCTCCAAATGAGGTAATGGAGTGTTAGTAAAGTAGTGTATTAATATATACAGCAAGCATATAAGCACATCCATCAGGACCTAGAAGGCTCTAGAAGACGGTAAAAAAAGGTCGTACTGAACAGTTTGCAGTCATTTAATGATTCAGTTACACTTTTTGTCTTGATAGCCCTTGAATCTTGTTTGATTACCCCCAAGAGACCGATCTGGACAGGATGGCTTAGGTTCCTACATTCAAACACAGTATCTTGACATTATATATTTCTTCTGAATGACTCTCAAAGGATTTCCCAATTGGACTCACCTAATTACTGGGGTAAACAAACTGTGAAGGCGACAGTACAGTCGTACACCCTGTTAAAGAGAAAGATGAGGTTAGTTAACATGTTCATACCACAGAGAACATAAGAGGAACGGATGCCATAAGGAAGCCTATAGGTTCTAAATGCACTTCATTTAGATAGTAAAAAGGTCTGTTCAAATTTCTATATATTTTCATGTGCCTAAAAGTAATGTTTCCAGATAACAATATCAATGAATAAATTATGAGAAAGAGAACATTTCTATTCCAATCTAAGCTTCACTGAGACACACATAAAGGATTAACTTTAAGGTAGCATTAAAAAAATCTGAAGTTATAGTAGTTTGAAAGAAAAGTACACAAACCCTGAAAGATAAAGCAATGTGTCCATACATTAAAGTTTTCCCAATCACTGGTTGCTATTCTACACACAAAGTGAGTAATTAAAATAGAAAACACTGCATTTGATCATGTGCATCAATACTTTACTTACAAACTGAAATTATAACCAACCAATAAACTTTAAAAAAATGCAGAAAGATTCAAAGATTGGCAATGTTTTCAATTAAAAACAAAATTAAAACATTTGGAGGAGTTTAAGAAACTAGCATCAGAAAATGTTATTTAAAAAATGAAATCACATTGGTATTCCTTAGCAGACTATCAAAAAACAATTACGTTTATAACATGCAAGAACCACCATGTATAGCAATTAAAAGTTGTGTCAAATTAGATTCCATCCTACTTTGCTGTGCCTGGTAGTTCAGTATTGAAGAGGTCTCTAGATATACCTTATGTTAACAAATGCCAGCAGAAGTGTGAATGGCACTGTAATGTAATACCTAAATGCTGACATTTTCTATCACCTCAAAATCATGAAAAGTTTGAATATTCATGAGCTTAAAGGCAACCTGGTTCAATCATTTTGTTACGCTCAGTATTATAGATGGATAGCACTACCTGTCTGCGTTTAAACATCTCTGTGACTGCAGATTTACTGCCTTGTTAAGGCACTAACAAAAGACACTCAGATTTAAGAGAAAATTAAAAACAATTTTCTACGTAAGCTTCATATCTATCTGTGGTGGTCCTGCTCAGGCAGGGGGATTGGACTAGATGATCCTTTGAGGTCCCTTCCAATCCCTAACATTCTGTGATTCTGTGAAAACGGACTGAAAAATATAAAAGACTGAAATGCCAGGTTCAGAATCACCCAGAAACACAGGCAATGCATCCTGCATATGAAAGGATTAAATAGCAAAAATAACTAAAAAACAACAAACTTTAATTTTGTATTTAAAATGTGTAACAACAAGCCAAAATCTTCCCTTACAAATGGAAACATGAATTTGATTCACATAAATATAGAAACAGGCAAATGTGAGGGGATGTTATTTATCCTAGTGCAGTATTTTACAATATGTTTCATGCAGAACTTCCATTTCTGATGTGCTCTTTCTAATAATAGCAACTCTTCTATTCTATACCTTCGAGATCACATCCTGCATCTCATTTCGGGGGTAGTAAGTTCCATCATCGTATCGGAATCTGTACAGCATGTGTTCGGGTTTGAACTGGTGCTTATCTGTAACTAAATTTTAAAAACAAGTCATGTATTGTTAGGTGACTTTCTGAAGGAATCAACAAGAGAGAAGAGAGCCAGCATCATTTCTGCTAATAACAGCCCATTACACAGCAAGAGGTAGATTTCAGGCAGGCAGAGCAGGAAGTACAATTAGTTCATGTGCACTAAGCTCTATTACATCACTGGTGACAATATTTCTCACAACATGTAAGTAGTCCAGAAGAAATCAAACAATTTCAAGTCACAGGGCAATGAATAAGAAAGAAAAACAGGCAGGGAACAGCCTGAAAAATTAGGCACTCGAATCTGTTCTAGTCTTCAGCACTTCTTGCAAAGCTTATCAACCAAATAGTCAAATAAAGCCTATTTTGCAACTATTCATACTATTGTTCCACATTATTCTCCATTCTAATTCCTGCAGAGGCCATTCTCAGATGAGTCAACAAAGATACGAAGTCTCTACAACACATCTGACCAGTCTTGCGCTGGGGAGGAAAGGAAGAGAGAACACCTTCCTCTCTACACAGCCAGCTGAAGGTCTTCAGTGCAAGAGACTTGCAATCATTATGAAGATGTGGATAACTGATTTCTCCAAAGACTCGTGAAAACGGTTCTTAACATGGATTTTCAGAGTTCAATAGATTCCAACAACAACCTCACAACTTCAACTGTTTTGTCAAAACAGTCATATCAAAGGATACAAAACGCCTCCTGAAATGGTACTACAGCAAATCTTTCTGATTCATTTGATGGCTGACAGCACTAGGCATTAGCATCATCCTAGGATAACTATCTTGTATTAATTACTGTTTTGCTTGCAGATGTAAGCTTTAATTTTGAAACTAAAACTGCATGTCATCAACTGATAAAGAAGGCTACTGTAATGTCTTCATAAATCAAATGTCTTCATTAAACAGACCTGACAGTGCTAGGTAATTCTTCTGTGCATGCCTTCCTATATCAAGTGATTAAACCATCATCCCTTATTCTCTTAGAAAAATTTATTTAGGCACCATAAACTTTGTATAGTAAGGTGCCTTCTGCCTGCATCATTTTTCATGCCCCTTCAAGCTCTTCAGTACCTCCACATACCATTTGATACATGGACATAAAAATTGGACTTCATATATTAAGTGGTTTCACTAGTGTCATGTTAAAAAGCAAAATAACTTCTATACCTGTATTTGACCTATCTGCTAATAGTAAAGCTCAGGACAGTATTCCAATTGCCTCGAACCAATGGTTCACGTTAAGGTGATGATCCAAAATAACCCTTAAGCTCTTTTATTTATCATTGTTTCTCAATATATCAAGATTAGACTCAATATAGACTACAAGATTTTCACCTACAGTGCCTAATATAGCTATCTAAATTAATTTTAATCGATTTTCACCATTTAACTCAGGAAAAAAAAAAAGACACCTCCTATTTCTGTAATTAAAAATAATTTCCTACTGCTGGAGAAAAAATATATTACGCTGGATCAGCATACATTAAGAGTTTTTAAAACCATCAACTACAGAAAATAGAAAAGAACACCACCAGGACAGTATTGCTTAAGGCCAAGTAATTCCTCATTGTTACAGAGATGCACAGGGAGGACTACAAAGTAAGTACCTTTCCATCTTTGCATGCCCACGAGCAACAGAGTGGGCTCTGCCCCCAGGGAACAAAAGCACCACTCCGTCTTTGCAGCCTCTACTTATACACAGTGCACCAGAAACTAATGGAGCAGGTCCACAGAGCTGGCACACCCTGATCTCTGGAAAGCAAGGAAACCAACCAAGGATGCTTCCAACTACAGTATTGTGTAAAATATCACATATATCCAGGGAATGCAAAGAAGGAAGCTGTAAATCACTGGTTTTTGGGGGAGTTGTTTTCTATGATATAGATGTGATTTGGCTTGTTCAAGAGGAGGGATAGATGATCTATCCACTACTGTATGAACATGGAAACCTTAAAAAGAAACATGAAAACATTTAGCTTACTGTAGGGCTTTCCTTTTCACTAGAATCAGCTATACATTTGCAAGGCCATAGCTTCAAACACTTAAAGCTGATAAAACACTGCATTACTACTAAAATAAGGAACTCCAAGTTGTTTTCTATGTCACTCCCAACAACGTAACTATACTTTGCGTTGGGATAAATATTTATATGGCACATACTAAGAAAAGGGAACTGATTCAGGTTCAAACTGGTCTTTCCTTTTTTGCCAGGGTAATTTTGACACAGATCAGCACATCATTTCAGGAAACTGCACAGCCACATAAATACCTATTAATTTTACATCTATCTGATATTCAGATTATTTTTGTTACTACAAAGCTCATTACTGCTTTGAGAGGAAGCTTCCATCTCTAATCATACAGTAGCAGTGACCGGACAAAGTATCTCAGCCCATTGGCTGACATAAGTCATTTCATGCCAGGCAGTCTCACTCACCTCTGTGCCCGGCAAGATCATGGAGCAGATCCTCCTGGCAACTACGCTAAGGCACACAGAAAATAAGGAGGTGATTGGTGACAGCCAACACGGCTTCACTAAGGGAAAATCCTGCCTGACAAGTGTGGTGGCCTTCTGTGATGGGGTTACAGCATTGATGGATATGGGAAAAGCAACTGACATCATCTACCTCGACTTATCCAAAGCATTTGATACTGTCCCACACAACATCCTTGTCTCTAAACTGGAAAGACATGGTTTTGATGGATGGACCACTCGGTGGATAAGGAATGGGCTGGATGGTCGCTCTCAAAGAGTCAATGGTTCAATGTCCACGTGGAGGCCAGTGATGAGTGGGGTTCCACAGGGGTCAGTACTGGGACCAGTGCTATTTAACATCTTTGTTGGAGACATGGACAGTGGGATCGAGTGCACCCTCAGCAAGTTTGCAGATGACACCAAGTTGTGTGGTGTTGTGGACATGCTGGAGGGAAGGGATGCCATCCAGAGGGACCTTGACAGGCTGGAGAGGTGGGCCTGTGAGAACCTCATGAAGTTCAACAAGGCCAAGTGCAAGGTCCTGCACGTGGGTCGGGGCAATCCCAAGCACTAGTACAGGCTGGGCGGAAAATGCATTGAGAGCAGCCCTGAGGAAAAGGACTTGGGAGTGCTGGTGGATAAGAAGCTCAACATGGGCCAGCAATGTGCAATAGCAGCCCAGAAAGCCAACTGTATCCTGGGCTGTATCAAAAGAAGTGTGGCCAGCAGGTCGAAGGAGGTGATTCTGCCCCTCTCATCAGCTCTTGTGAGACCCCACCTAGAATACTGTGTTCAGCTCTGGAGTCCCCAACATAAGAAGGACATGGAGCTGCTGGAGTGAGTCCAGAGGAGAGCCATGAAGATGATTCGAGGGCTGGAGCACCTCTGCTATGAAGACAGGATGAGAGAGTTGGGGCTGTTCAGCCTGGAGAAGAGAAGGCTCCAGGGTGATCTTATAGCAGCTTTCCAGTACCTAAAGGGGGCCTACAGGAAAGCTGGAGAGGGACTTTTTACAAGGGCATGTAGTGATAGGACAAGGGGCAATGGATTTAAACTGAAAGAGGGCAGATTTCGATTAGATATAAGGAAGAAATTTTTTACATTGAGGGTGGTGAGGCAGTGGAACAGGTTGCCCAGAGAAGTTGTGGATGCCCCATCCCTGGAAGTGTTCAAGGCCAGGTTAGATGAGGCTTTGGGCAACCTGGTGTAGTGGAGGATTTCTCTGCCCATGGCAGGGGGATTGGAACTAGATGATCTTTAAGTTCCCTTCCAACCCTAACCATTCTATGATTCTATGTATTAAAGAATGCCACCAGGTAGATTTAAAATAGCAACGTACAAACAGATTTTTCCTTTTTGCAAAATTGGAGGCGGGGGGGAGGGAAACAAAAAACAAACAAACAAGGGAAAACGGTAACTTTTCTTCTTGTAAGAGTCCTCGCACCAGGAAGTGAAACAATGCCCATCACAACATGGGTATGGCATTAGCTAGAATGAAGCGCAGCACAGTGAAAATAATGTCCGGCACAGTGAATATGCAAAGTCTAACAAAGCCCTCTACAACATTTGCAATGTGAATAACAGCCAAACTTTCTTTCTCCCTTGCTCCCTCTGTGAAAACAGATGGTTCATTCAACTTTATTTTAAGAATTCTATTTTCACTGAATCACAGCTGGATCCACTATTCAAAGTAGCATGTCTAGCTTCACATTTCTATGCTCTAATATAATTATCCTTTTATCTCATGAAATTACACAATATTCATTTAACTTTGTATTGAGAAAGTCTATGAATGTATTTGGGATATAAATTACAAGATCAGGAGAAGAATCTCTGGCAACAGAATCATTCCACTGAAAACAATTCTGTGTGTGTAGTAAACATAATAGCATCTGACATTTGAATGATGGTGGAGGAAAATCATGTAGACTGACATTAAAGAATTAAAGACTACATGACTACGGATGAATAACTGTAATGTTTTTCCTCCTATTCTGCGTATGTTTAAAATGCATACAGCTAAGTGGCACTCTGTTACTCTTTCTTTCCAGACAAGGACACTGAAATCATGGCAAAGAACTTACAAAGTAAGTATTAAATTCATTGCCGGCTGAAGTATACAAGCATTAAAATGTATATTATTAATGATTCCATCTAAATTATTTAGATTCCATCTAAATTTACCCCTGGATCTATGGTGGAACAGTAGCTAATTTCACAACTGTTTCACTTTTTTTTTTTTTTAAAGTGATTGTACCTATTGTGAGCCAAACATGTCCCTGTCCATGGCAGGGGGATTGGAACTAGATGATCTTTAAGGTCCCTCTGAACTCAAACCATTCTATGATTCTATGCCTTCAAAATCAGAAGTTTCTCCAGTTTGCTAATATGGTCCTATTGGACGATACCTTGTAAAAGGGACAGAGATGAGGACCTGCTTTCATTAGAGAAAACAGTTGCCAACGGAAGTTAGCTCCAGAAATCAAATCTTCTTATTAGCTCAAAACCTGAACCATTTCAGTGATACTTCTCTCCAGAATGAGTTAAATACAGACAGATGACTGAAAGTTTCAGCATAAAAATATCAATTTTAGTTAACTATACAATGTAGCGAAAATAAGGCCTTAAAATTCAAAAGATTAAACTGTCGGATTCTAGGTTGGATTCCACCCGCTCCACCTGTAATACCTAACAGATGAGCAGGTACATTTATCAGCAGCCAACTGTGACTCACTCTCTTCTACAATTAATAGTTGAACACGTATCCCTAAGAAGCCTGGCCTTAATAAAAGGTTTAAATTGTTAAAAGCAGTCTGCCATTATCTATTCCCCCAGAATTTATTTTTGCTTACAAGAGAATAGTGATGTTTCTCTAGGTCCTTGTTTGCAATGTTGTGATCCCAACAGCATACATGTAATCTGATTAAATCAATGGAGTCTCTCCCAGTAAATCTGCTGGGCATGGACAATGGCTTTGCAAGACCATCTTTTTGTCAAACAAAATTAAGTCCACTCTAATTACAACAATTACCTTGAAAACAAGTAAGTTAAAACTAATTATATTTACCATGATGGATAATGCCATTCTCTAATAAAGCTTGGCCAAGATGAACACCTTCTTCAGATTTGTGTATCTCTCCAATTTCCAGCAACCAGGACACAAATTCACTGAATTAAAAACAGATACAAAAAACAAACTTTAAATGTCATGCCACCACATCTACTACGCTTCCGTCCCAGTTACTAGTATTGCTTACTAGCCTAGTAAGTGATTCTTAAGCCTAACGATCTTCAGAATACCATCCCACCTTCAAAAAAAACCACACATTTCAACTCATTATTTCAATAAAAATACATATGGTTTCCCTTGAGATGTCTTTTCCTTCCTGTTTAGAAGTTTAACCTTTGCGCATAGTGCAAAGCAAGTTTGTTGATGGTACCCAACTAGGAAGTACTGACAAGTCTCTTGAGAAACAAGAGGCCTTGCAGAGGGATCTAGATAGATTGAAGCATTGGGTAATCATTAATGGCATGAAATTTAACAAGCCCAAATGCCAGATTCTCCACCTGTGACAGAGGAATGCCAGGCACAAGTACAAACTGGGGAGGAGTGATATGAGGGATCTGAAGGATCCCTGCAGAAAGGGATGTGGAGTGCTGGTCGACAGCAGGCTCCATACGAGTCAGCAGTGTGCCCGGGCAGCCCAGAGGGCAAACTGCACTCTGGGGTGCATCAAACACAGCATAGCCAGCCAGTCAAAGGAGGTGATTATCCCCCTGTGTTCAGCGTTGGTGGGACCTCGAGTTCTGTGTGCAGTTCTGGGCCCCACAATTTAGGAAGGATGTGAAGGTCCTTGAATGTATCCATAGGAGGGCAACAAAGGTGGTGAAAGGGCTGGAAAGAATGTCCTGTGAGGAGCAGCTGAGGACTGTGAGTTTGTCTAGCTTGGAGAAAACGAGCCTGAGGGCCAACTTCATTGCTCTTTACAGCTTCCTGGGAAGGGGAAGCAGAGAGGGAGGTGCGGATCTCATCTCCCTGGATGCAGTGATAGGACACATGGGAATGATTCAAAGCTACACCACAAGAGGTTTAGAGTGGACATTAGAAAGCAATTCTTTACCGAGAGTGGTCAAACACTGGAATGGGCTTCCTAGAGAGGTAGTCGATGCCCCAAACCTGTCAGTGTTTAAAAAGGCATTTGAACAGTGCCCTTAACAACATGCGTTCACTTTTGGTCAGCCCTGAAGTAGTCAGGCAGTTGGACTAGATGATCATTGCAGGTCTCTTCCAATTGAACTATTCTATTCTGTTCTATTTTATTTCCATGGTTTTGGGGATTTCCTAGAGAAGAGTAGTCACATGTGACCACTCCATCAAATATAAGGCAACCCCAGGCATACCTACTGCACCAGCCCAGGGCAGATACACCATGAAGGCAGAACGTAATCACAGTATGATAGAACAGCAGGCCTGTTACTTCTGAGACATGTCAGACATGCGAACATCCTCAGCATATACAAAAAGTATACAGTGCATGTGCAGGAAATATGTGGCTTAATTCACAATAAACCTGTTGCAATTCAGACATACCGGATTTATAGCACGTAAGATATTTGCATGTGTGTTACAAATGAAAAGAACAGTGCAGTGAGGTAGTGCAATATTTTAAGGTTTTAACTGGTGACCCAGGGACCAGCAAAAGTGTACTTCAAAAGGGTCCACTTCAAAGATAGCATAGAAAAGCAGCCATTTGACAGCAGGCTTAAACGTTTCACACATGGCTCCTCACCACGAGTGTATTCTTTACCTGCTTCCAACAACTTCTCTGAGGGTTTCAATTCTCACCTATGTGAGGCAGCACATGAATATCTCCCTAGTTTCATTTCCACTTTTGAACCCAGTGGTGAGTATTGTTACCATAATGTGTTTGTGTAAAACAGTCTTGGTACTTTATACTTTCCATACTTAACTGTCTTATGGTCAAATGAAATAAGTGATAACCCCTCCATCCCCTAAACTAATTTTTTTGTCATATACACGTTTTTAGGGTTGCCTATTGCTTTCTCCTACTCCTGCATTTAGTCTTCTTAAGCCACAGGAATAATATGAAACTCTAAAGATCCTCCTGACAACAGAGTAGATTTCGTAACTACAGAGGTAGATTTACGTTTCATAACTCCGTATCTGACATTCAGGCAAGCGGAGGACGAAAACAGCTTTAGAGACAGATTTTTTTAAGTGGAACAAAGCAAATTTAGTACTCTAAACTAGGCATTTCCAGAGATAAAATGCATTAAGCAAGTTGGAAGTTATTTATTTAAAGAAATTATTTTATTTAATGTATCATCATATTTTCAACATGCCTTTGCAGCCTTGTCCGTTTAAAAAGCTACTTTGGAATATGAGAACACATCCATAAATTTCAGGTAGATCAATTTCCATTTTGGCTAAATTCTGGGAGGCAAATAGGCCTAACAGACATTACAACTAAAGCATGGTTTCCGCAGAATCCCAAAGAAGATTTAAAACATGGTTTTAGCTGGTTAAAATTTATGCTATAAAATGCATATAATACCTTCCAAGAAAGCATTTGGGGAAAGTGGTTAATTTCCTCTTCCTGTCTTTGATGAGATTCCCTTGTTTGCACATCATTTTGTACAGTCTTTCTCCTTGCTCAGAGATCATCACCCAAGTGTCCTGTTCCATGCCCAATTTTAAACCTGCCAAAAATACATGAGAATTTTATGAAGTGATATTGCTATTACATTTCAATATCTTCCCTAAAAGGGAGAAGCAATATCAATATTTTACATACAAAAATGGTAAAGGAATTATTTTCCGTTATTTTTCTCAGAATCAAGATTCATCTACAAACATTTAATACTCATAAAGCATAATCAAATTTTATGCATAATTTCCTCAGAGTGAAGTTAAATTGTTACTGAAAATGTACACCTATACCATCATCACCATTGATATTGCAGTAATAAATACGCTGTGAATTTCAGACTTCAGTAAATGAACATTTGCAAGCCAGTAGTCATGTCTTCACAAGTTTAAAAGAAAAGGGCCTTGGTTTTGCTCTTACCATGTGGTAACAAAAATGTTTTCACATAAAGGAAACTTATACATTTGTTAGTTGTACATAAGATTAATTCACCCCTTTACCACAAAAGCATTTACATAACTTGATTTTTATTTGCTTAAGAATTTTCTCAACAACCAAAAATTATCAAGGGTTAGAGTTCAATTTTTCTTATTGGTTTATTTTTAACTGTTTCTCTTCTTGAGAAAATCATCATGTTTTCTCAGTAACAGATTATCAAAACCAGTTTTTGTTGAATTTTGCATCCTACTGGCCACTCACAGAAGCTTGTGCTTCCAAGAAATACCACAGACCTTCATATTTCATGTGCTTTCTCCATAAGCAATTATTAATTCTGAATAAACCACACATTTCTGGAATGTCTTATGTGTGTGTTCTCAGTTTCTCTTCAGATGTTCCCATTTTTAAAACTGTAACTTGACATATTAAATCTGAGTAATAGTCTGCCACTTCTTTAATTCTGAAAAAATAGCCAGAAAAAAAAATGTACCTGTTGTGAGAAAAAAGCCAGCAATGGTATTGGAAACAGATACAGGAGTGTCTCTCATTATCCATGGACCAGATAATGGTGATGCCACACAAATAGATAGTAATTTATTCCCAGGAAAAGACAACTTAACCAAAATACTACTTTTGGAGCTTACAGGATGTTGATGTTTTTATTTGTACTGACTGTTTGAATCAGGTCATCACAGCATCATCAGCCTTCAAGATGATCACCTTTTAAACAAATTTCTAACTTGCTGAATGCCTCAGGTGGTTACAGGAAAGCCACAAAACTGATAGAAAGCCTTCCTAGCAAGAAGTTTCCAATTCATCTTGATTTCTCCTAACAAGAAAACATAATCTATAAAGTGGTCCTAGTTGATAATTTAATTACAACTGCCGAAATCTCTGCTGAAGTATTTCATTCATGGCATCCTCTTCCTTTTGCCCAGCTTCTGCTATACAGATTCCAAATAAAAGTATAGGTTGAGTTTCCCCAAGTACATTCTGAGTACACTCAGTACATCTGAGTCTCCCAACACGAACAGCGCAGCAAGCCCCAGCTACATGGCACGCTCGCTGTATTTCCGTGCCTCACTTCTGCTCCACGTGCTGTTTTTACCTAGTCTACAATCTGCCATTCTGTGCGAGATGCGGGATCTACAGCACCATTATGAAGAAATGTATGGCACACGCAGCACGATGAGGAAGGAGTCACTCACATGAGCCTCACTCCCAGCCCAAGAGATCTCGCAAGCGTGTTCGTTTGGGTTGGTTCGTCTCAGACTTGCAAAGGAGATAAAACCTCTCCTCGCGTGTGCAGTCATTTAGACTTCAGTGTAATTGCCTACACATATACACACATGAACAGGCTCCACGTCTTATTAAGTAAACACACAACCAAAGCATCTTTATGTTCACAGTGAATGGGAAAGTGTTAATAGATACATTTAGATGCAGCGTTTGAGTTCCAGAAAGATAGCTGTTTGGTTCCTGAGTCATTTGGCAACTTGACTGCAATTACGTTGATGCATCCTGCTTTGCAAAAGGTGTTTATACAGATATTTTGAAAAAATTCCATGTGCTGGATGAGATGGAAAAATTTGTAAGTTGATAAGAGTAACAGAGATATTCAAGAAGTATTTCTGAAGATTGTGTGTTGTAAACTGAGTCTAAGTGTGTATCAAATCCTCTTCTCTTTCTTTCATGGCTGTTTCCTTGGTGGCAAACCCACTGAGAACATCAGAAGCCAAAAATTTCCCCAAATTATAGGATGCTCAAATCCTAAGACATGGCTTGACTTGGGGATGGCTACCTCAGACTTCACACTTGGCAAGGTTTAGCTCAAACTCATCCCTACTACCAGCTGCTCAATAGCATAGTGTGAAACAGTAAGAATACATCAACATAAAATACTCCTACTCACTCTTTCTATTTCTTATCTAAAGGTATCAAGAGCCTAAGGGAACCAAGAAACTTAACAGTGAAGTGGGATTTGTTAAAAACCCTTTTAGTGAGTTCCAGACAAGGCCCTATACAGCAGCAGACAAACCTGGTCTTTGTTGTATTTGACACCTTCTCTACCACAATGCTTTTTCATTTATTATTTTTAAAATGTTGAGGTTTTAGACCTCTACGGCATATTTTTAGCTTTTCTGCTATTAATTCCTGTTTCTACTATTAATTAGCCAGTGATCAGACACCCTAGTTGAAATTCTGGTCCTACGGCACATGTTCTACAAACGTCCAGTATTCAACTTTAAAAGACCAAAGGAAGTACTGTTAGTCTCCGTTTACAACGGAGGCAAAAAACAACGGCTACTGCAACAGCGGACACAAAATCTACACAGACCAGGAGAAGAATCCCAGATCTAACTACAAGGTCATATTTTTCTTTTAATACCAAGGCTCCAAACATCATTACTGATTAGGACATTTTAGCTTGCAAATAAAATTAGCTCCAGACGATGATGATGTGTCATCTTTTCCTAGTTCTACTTTGTGCTGGGTTCACCTTGAACACATGAGGTTATCTGTGGTCACATTTGAGATCAGCATTATATTTCATCCAAGTATTGTTCCATCTTAATTCAGTTATTCAAAAAGATAGTGGTTTGCCAATGGTGAGTGCTTACTTTCTTGGGTAGGGGAGAATACATCAAAGATGGGATTGTGAGTATATTCTGTACCATTTCACGATGGATCATTTGCATGAAGATCCAACATAGAAAACCTGCTCGTTTCAGTCATTCAAATGACCAGTCACAAAAGGAAATCAATGCATACAAATCCCACAAGGCATTTAGGACAGACTCTCATATGCCACAAACCGTAACAGTACACAGGCCTCGAGGAAATTATGACAATTTATATTGGTCTAAGGTAAGGTGTAAAATCATAAATTAAATCCTTTCCCCATTTCCAAAACAGCAGTCACTACCGGCATACATGATTCAAGCCATTATGCCCTTCCCAGTACAAGTTTGTGTTATTTTTTCCAAGCTGGTATTCATAACCCTTCAGCTGAGCCTGACACCACAAGTTTGCCTAGCAGCTGGTTTTGCTTCATATCTCAACATAAAAATACAGGACGGCTTTCTGGCAAAGCCACACAAGGAAGTTTATTAACCTACCTTTTCTTCTCTCTCTCTCTTTCAAAATAGCTTCCAGCCATTCTTGCTTCTCTTCAGGGGTTTTTGCCATACATACAAACCATTTGTTCTTTGCTGTGTTGTGGATCTTCCAGCCATTAATAACAGTGTGTCCGCTGCTGTGATAGTCAGCTGGGAATAGACAACAGGGCTTAAAGAGCACCAATTCTTAAAAAAGGAGTAGTTGTTACAATTATTAAGAACTCTTGTCATTACACACAAAGCTTAGGAAACAGAGAAGAAAACAAATGAATTTAAAGTTATCTGTGCCACTTGTGAACCATGTTATAACTTAAGAAGTTGTACTTTTGACGTTTAGTAAATAACGTCCTTTTTACAACGTAACAGAGAATTGCCTAGCATATGGAAGAAGGTACAAACGCAACATTAAAACAGGCAGAGTCCTATTAAAAGAAAAGATCACAGTACTTGGAGTACTTTTGCTCGTGGTAAACTGTAATAAATAATTCCTTAAAAAAAGCAGTATTGTATCGTTTTGCCCCTTAAATTACTCAGAGCTGCTGTGCTGATTGAATGATTTACTATTAAATTTTAAAAATGACTAAATATATAGGGGGGAAAAATACAATTTCAGTTTGACAAGTAAGCAAATCATATATATATGTTGTATCCTTACTGGTTACCTGAATAAAGAAATATCTATACTTACTTGATTAAACAAACTGAAATATAATACAGGATTTACTCCTCAAAAAAAAAAAATTTAAAAAACAAATTAAATTGAATTAAAATGCATTAACCAAATACATATTTTTTGAAATATGTTCCTAACAACCCTATTTTCAGTGTGTACATTATAGGGCAGAGGTAACAATTGCTGATGTTCTCAGATATTTTGAGCTTCTGGCTCTTAACATGTAAAACACTACGCTCTAAAAATCAGACAATTTACTACTTATTACTCTTTCTTTAGTTCTTTGATTTTAACATGCTGGTCCATAAATTTTATTGAGAAAATAGCTAAACAGACACCCTCTCCAAAACTAACGCCCTTGAATATCCCTCACTAGGATTACATGAATTTCCTGGGGGAAAATTTGTGAGGCTTAAATTTTTTTTTTTTTTTTGCATAAAACACAGATTAAAACTAGAACTAGCAACTACCATAAAAAATACTAAGAAAATCAAAGGTCAACATTTTCTCACCACAAACTTTCATTAAGAGGCAAGAAAGTCCTAGGGCCAGCCCTGAAACTACTGTAATAACTACAGAGCTTTTTACTCTGTGAATACTTTTTCATAATTCAGCTCTGTTTTCTATAAAGAGATAGGGTTTTCCGAAACTGAAACCCTTGCTAAAATGCTTGCTAAGATTTATCATAAATCTCAGCAGACATGCTAGTATCCTTTCAATAACTCTGAATCTTAATTAGATGGAAAGCAGCCAAGCTTTGTATACTGGGCTGGGAAATGTCAGAAACTACTAGAAAAATCATGAGACTGGTGGCTAATTTTTAAACCAACAAAACTTTCTAGTACTCAAAGTGTATAAGAAACAACAAGCAAGTCTGTGACGGGGGAAAAAATGAAGTTATTTTTGCAACATCATGTTTATACTACTTACCTATTTATCATATTTTTATTCACATAACTAATGCATAATATCCTTTGTCACTTTAAAAAACAGTTTCTTGAAAACTAGCCATCATATCATTCATGCACTGTCAGAAAATCAGAGGCAAAAGTCAGGGAAAAGAAAAGCCTCAGACAGAAGCTCTCAGCTGACAGACTGCAGCCCTTTGGAGATCAGAGGCAAGAGCACTACTGGAGGAAGAAAGGTAAAGGTCCCTTTGTATTATTTAAGTATATACTTAAAACCTTGCAACACAGCTCTAGCTGTGCCTTTTTGTTTATTTATTAAGTTAGAGGCTAATACATATAAAACTACAGGGTGATATTTTTTTCCTGTGGTCTTTGTTCCTGTGTATCTATAATCACAAGACT